CTGCAGCACCAAAAACCACAACTGCAGCACGAACAACCACAACTGCAGCACCTACAACAACAACTGCAGCACCAGCAACCGCAACTGAAGCATCTACAACCACAACTGCAGCACCTACAACCACTACTGCAGCACCTACAACCACAACTGCAGCACATACAACTACCACTTCAGCACAAACCACCACAACCGCAGCACCAACAACCACAACTGCAGCACCTACAACCACAACTGCAGCACCAACAACTGCAACTGAAGCACCTCCAACCACAACTGCAGCACCTACAACCACAACAGCAGCTCCTACAACCACAACTGCAGCACCAAAAACCACAACTACAGCACCTACAACCACAGCTGCAGCACCTACAACTGCAACTGAAGCACCTACAACCACAACTGCAGCACAAAAAACCACAACTGCAGCACCTACAACCACAATTGAAGCACCTACAACCACTACTGCAGCACCGACAACCACAACTGCAGCACCAACAACTACAACTACAGCACCAACAAACACGACTGCAGCACCTACAACCACAACTGCCGCACCTACAACCACAACTGCAGCACCAAAAACCACAACTACAGCACCTACATCCACATCTGCAGCACCTACAACCGCAACTGAAGCACCTACAACCGCAATTGCAGCACCAACAACCACAACTGCAGCACCTACAACCACGACTGCAGCACCTACAACCACAACTGCGGCACCTACAACCACAATTGCAGCACCTACCAACCCAACTGCAGCACCTACAACCACAACTGCAGCACCTACAACCACAACTGCAGCACGAACAGCCACAACTGCAGCACCTACAACCACAACTGCAGCACCTACAGCCACAACTGCAGCACCTACAACCACAACTGCAGCACCAACAACTGGAACTGCAGCACCTACAACCACAACTGCAGCACCAACAACCACAACTGCAGCACATACAACTTCCACTTCAGCACAAACCACCACAACCGCAGCACCAACAACCACAACTGCAGCACCTACAACCACAACTGCAGCACCTACGACCACAAGTGCAGCACCTACAACCACAACTGCAGCACCAAAAACCACAACTGCAGCACCTACTACCACAACTGCAGCACCTACAACCACAACTGCAGCACCAACAACCACGACTGCTGCACCTAAAACCACAACTGCAGCACCTACAACCACAACTGCAGCACCAAAAACCACAACTATTGCACCAAAAACCACAACTGCAGCACCTACAACCACAACTGCAGTACCAACAACAGCAACTGAAGCACCTCCAACCACAACTGCAGCACCAACAACCACAACTGCAGCACATACAACTACCACTTCAGCACAAACCACCACAACTGCAATACCTACATCCACAACTGCAGCACCTACAAGCACAACTGCAGCACCTACAACCACAGCTGCAGCACATACAACTTCAACTTCAGCACAAACCACCACAACCGCAGGACAAACAACCACAATTGCAGCACCTACACCCACAACTGCAGCACATACAACTTCCACTTCAGCACAAACCACCACAACCGCAGCACCAACAACCACAACTGCAGCACCAACAACAGAAACAGCAGCACCAACAACCACAACTGCAGCACCTACAACCACGACTGCAGCACCTACAAACGCAACTGAAGCTTCTACAACCACAACTGCAGCACCTACAACCACTATTGCAGCACCTACAACCACAAATTCAGCACATACAACTAACACTTCAGCACAAACCACCACAACCGCAGCACCAACAACCACAACTGCAGCACCTACAACCACAACTGCAGCACCAACAACCGCAACTGAAGCACCTCCAACCACAACTGCAGCACCTACAACCACAACTGCAGCACCAAAAACCACAACTACAGCACCTACAACCACGGCTTCAGCACCTACAACCGCAACTGAAGCACCTACAACCACAACTGCAGCACCAAAAACCACAACTGCAGCACCTACAGCCACAACTGCAGCACCAACAACCACAACTGAAGCACTTACAACCACAACTGCAGCACCTACAACCACAACTGCAGCACCAAAAACCACAACTACAGCACGTACAACCACATCTGCAGCACCTACAACCGCAACTGAAGCACCTACAACCACAACTGCAGCACCAAATATCACAACTGCAGCACCAAAAACCACAACAGCAGCACCAAAAACCACAACTGCAGCACCTACAACCACAACTGCAGCACCTACAACCACAACAGCAGCACCTACAACCACCACTGCAGCACCTACAACCACAACTGCAGCACCTGCAACCACAACTGCAGCACCAACAACCACAATTGAAGCACCTACAACCACTACTGCAGCACCGACAACCACAACTGCAGCACCAACAACCACGACTGCAGCACCTACAACCACAACTGCAGCACCTACAACCACAACTGCAGCACCTACAACCACAACTGCAGCACCAAAAACCACAACTACAGCACCTACAACCACTACTGCAGCACCTACAACCGCAACTGAAGCACCTACAACCACAATTGCAGCACCAACAACCACAACTGCAGCACCTACAACCACGACTGCAGCACCTACAACCACAACTGCGGCACCTACAACCACAATTACAGCACCTACCAACACAACTGCAGCACCTACAACCACAACTGCAGCACCTACAACCACAACTGCAGCACCAACAGCCACAACTGCAGCACCTACAACCACAACTGCAGCACCTACAACCACAACTGCAGCACCTACAACCACAACTGCAGCTCCAACAACCGCAACTGCAGCACCTACAACCACAACTGCAGCACCAACAACCACAACTGCAGCACATACAACTTCCACTTCAGCACAAACCACCACAACCGCAGCACCAACAACCACAACTGCTGCACCAACAACCACAACAGCAGAACCTACAACCACAACTGCAGCACCTACAACAACAACTGCAGCACAGGCAACCGCAACTGAAGCTTCTACAACCACAACTGCAGCACCTACAACCACTATTGCAGCACCTACAACCACAACTTCAGCACATACAACTACCACTTCAGCACAAACCACCACAACCGCAGCACCAACAACCACAACTGCAGCACCTACAACCACAACTGCAGCACCAACAACCGCAACTGAAGCACCTCCAACCACAACTGCAGCACCTACAACCACAACTGCAGCACCTACAACCACAACTCCAGCACCAAAAACCACAACTACAGCACCTACAACCACGGCTGCAGCACCTACAACCGCAACTGAAGCACCTACAACCACAACTGCACCACCAAAAACCACAACTGCAGCACCTACAGCCACAACTGCAGCACCAACAACCACAACTGCAGCACCTACAACCACAACTGCAGCACCTACAACCCCAACTGCAGCACCAAAAACCACAACTACAGCACCTACAACCACATCTGCAGCACCTACAACCACAACTGAAGCACCTACAACCACAACTGCAGCACCAAAAACCACAACTGCAGCACCAAAAACCACAACAGCAGCACCAAAAACCACAACTGCAGCACCTACAACCACAACTGCAGCACCTACAACCACAACAGCAGCACCTACAACCGCCACTGCAGCACCTACAACCACAACTGCAGCACCTGCAACCACAACTGCAGCACCTACAACCACTACTGCAGAACCTACAACCACAACTGCAGCACCAACAACCACAATTGTAGCACCTACAACCACTACTGCAGCACAAACAACCACAACTGCAGCACCAACAACCCCAGCTGCAGCACCTACAACCACAACTGCAGCACCTACGACCACAAGTGCAGCACCTACAACCACAACTGCAGCACCAAAAACCACAACTGCAGCACCTACAACCACAACTGCAGCACCTAAAACCACAACAGCAGCACCTACAACCGCAACTGCAGCACCTACAACCACAACTGCAGCACCTACAACCACAACTGCAGCACCTACAACCACAACTGCAGCACCTACAACCACTATTGCAGCACCTACAACCACAACTGCAGCACCAACAACCACAATTGAAGCACCTACAACCACTACTGCAGCACCTACAACAACAACTGCAGCACCAACAACCACAACTGCAGCACCAACAACCAGGATTGCAGCACCTACAACCACAACTGCAGCACCAAAAACCACAACTACAGCACCTACAACCACATCTGCAGAACCTACAACCGCAACTGAAGCACCTACAACCACAACTGCGGCACCAAAAACCACAACTGCAGCACCAAAAACCACAACTGCAGCACATACAACCACAACTGCAGCACCTACAACAACAACTGCAGCACCAACAACCACAATTGAAGCACCTACAACCACTACTGCAGCACCGACAACCACAACTGCAGCACCAACAACCACAGCTGCAGCACCTACAACCACAACTGCAGCACCTACGACCAAGAGTGCAGCACCTACAACCACAACTGCAGCACCAAAAACCACAACTGCAGCACCTACAACCACAACTGCAGCACCTAAAACCACAACAGCAGCACCTACAACCGCAACTGCAGCACCTACAACCACAACTGCAGCACCTACAACCACAACTGAAGCACCTACAACCACTATTGCAGCACCTACAACCACAATTGAAGCACCTACAACCACTACTGCAGCACCTACAACCACAACTGCAGCACCTACAACCACAACTGCAGCACCTAAAACCACAACAGCAGCACCTACAACCGCAACTGCAGCACCTACAACCACAACTGCAGCACCTACAACCACAACTGCAGCACCTACAACCACTATTGCAGCACCTACAACCACAACTGCAGCACCAACAACCACAATTGAAGCACCTACAACCACTACTGCAGCACCTACAACCACAACTGCAGCACCAACAACCACAACTGCAGCACCAACAACCACGATTGCAGCACCTACAACCACAACTGCAGCACCTACAACCACAACTGCAGCACCAAAAACCACAACTACAGCACCTACAACCACATCTGCAGAACCTACAACCGCAACTGAAGCACCTACAACCACAACTGCGGCACCAAAAACCACAACTGCAGCACCTACAACCACAACTGCAGCACCAAAAATCACAACTGCAGCACATACAACTACCACTTCAGCACAAACCACCACAACTGCAATACCTACATCCACAACTGCAGCACATACAGCCACAACTGCAGCACCTACAACCACAACTGCAGCACCAACAACTGTAACTGAAGCACCTACAACCCCAATTGCAGCACCAACAACCACAACTGCAGCACCTACAACCACGACTGCAGCACCTACAACCACAACTGCGGCACCTACAACCACAATTACAGCACCTACCAACACAACTGCAGCACCTACAACCACAACTGCAGCACCTACAACCACAACTGCAGCACCAACAGCCACAACTGCAGCACCTACAACCACAACTGCAGCACCTACAACCACAACTGCAGCACCTACAACCACAACTGCAGCTCCAACAACTGCAACTGCAGCACCTACAACCACAACTGCAGCACCAACAACCACAACTGCAGCACATACAACTTCCACTTCAGCACAAACCACCACAACCGCAGCACCAACAACCACAACTGCAGCACCTACAACCACAACTGCACCACCTACGACCACAAGTGCAGCACCTACAACCACAACTGCAGCACCAAAAACCACAACTGCAGCACCAACAACCACAACAGCAGAACCTACAACCAGAACTGCAGCACCTACAACAACAACTGCAGCACATGTAACCGCAACTGAAGCTTCTACAACCACAACTGCAGCACCTACAACCTCTATTGCAGCACCTACAACCACAACTTCAGCACATACAACTACCACTTCAGCACAAACCACCACAACCGCAGCACCAATAACCACAACTGCAGCACCTACAACCACAACTGCAGCACCAACATCCGCAACTGAAGCACCTCCAACCACAACTGCAGCACCTACAACCACAACTGCAGCACCAAAAACCACAACTACAGCACCTACAACCGCAACTGAAGCACCTACAACCACAACTGCAGCACAAAAAACCACAACTACAGCACCTACAACCACAACTGCAGCACCTACAACCGCAACTGAAGCACCTACAACGACAACTGCAGCACCAAAACCCACAACTGCAGCACCAAAAACCACAACAGCAGCACCAAAAACCACAACTGCAGCACCTACAACCACAACTGCAGCACCTACAACCACAACAGCAGCACCTACAACCGCCACTGCAGCACCTACAACCACAACTGCAGCACCTGCAACCACAACTGCAGCACCTACAACCACTACTGCAGCACCTACAACCACAACTGCAGCACCAACAACCACAATTGAAGCACCTACAACCACTACTGCAGCACCAACAACCACAACTGCAGCACCAACAACCACAGCTGCAGCACCTACAACCACAACTGCAGCACCTACGACCACAACTGCAGCACCTACAACCACAACTGCAGCACCAAAAACCACAACTGCAGCACCTACAACCACAACTGCAGCACCTAAAACCACAACAGCAGCACCTACAACCGCAACTGCAGCACCTACAACCACAACTGCAGCACCTACAACCACAACTGCAGCACCTACAACCACAACTGCAGCACCTACAACCACTATTGCAGCACCTACAACCACAACTGCAGCACCAACAACCACAATTGAAGCACCTACAACCACTACTGCAGCACCTACAACAACAACTGCAGCACCAACAACCACAACTGCAGCACCAACAACCACGATTGCAGCACCTACAACCACAACTGCAGCACCAAAAACCACAACTACAGCACCTACAACCACATCTGCAGAACCTACAACCGCAACTGAAGCACCTACAACCACAACTGCGGCACCAAAAACCACAACTGCAGCACCTACAACCACAACTGCAGCACCAAAAACCACAACTGCAGCACATACAACCACAACTGCAGCACCTACAACCACAACTGCAGCACCAACAACCACAATTGAAGCACCTACAACCACTACTGCAGCACTGACAACCACAACTGCAGCACCAACAACCACAGCTGCAGCACCTACAACCACAACTGCAGCACCTACGACCAAGAGTGCAGCACCTACAACCACAACTGCAGCACCAAAAACCACAACTACAGCACCTACAACCACAACTGCAGCACCTAAAACCACAACAGCAGCACCTACAACCGCAACTGCAGCACCTACAACCACAACTGCAGCACCTACAACCACAACTGCAGCACCTACAACCACTATTGCAGCACCTACAACCACAACTGCAGCACCAACAACCACAATTGAAGCACCTACAACCACTACTGCAGCACCTACAACCACAACTGCAGCACCTACAACCACAACTGCAGCACCTCAAACCACAACAGCAGCACCTACAACCGCAACTGCAGCACCTACAACCACAACTGCAGCACCTACAACCACAACTGCAGCACCTACAACCACTATTGCAGCACCTACAACCACAACTGCAGCACCAACAACCACAATTGAAGCACCTACAACCACTACTGCAGCACCTACAACCACAACTGCAGCACCAACAACCACAACTGCAGCACCAACAACCACGATTGCAGCACCTACAACCACAACTGCAGCACCTACAACCACAACTGCAGCACCTACAACCACAACTGCAGCACCAAAAACCACAACTACAGCACCTACAACCACATCTCCAGAACCTACACCCGCAACTGAAGCACCTACAACCACAACTGCGGCACCAAAAACCACAACTGCAGCACCTACAACCACAACTGCAGCACCAACAACCACAACTGCAGCACCTACAACAACAACTCCAGCACCAGCAACTGCAACTGAAGCTTCTACAACCACAACTGCAGCACCTACAACCACTACTGCAGCACCTACAACCACAACTGCAGCACCAACAACCACAATTGTAGCACCTACAACCACTACTGCAGCACCAACAACCACAACTGCAGCACCAACAACCCCAGCTGCAGCACCTACAACCACAACTGCAGCACCTACGACCACAAGTGCAGCACCTACAACCACAACTGCAGCACCAAAAACCACAACTGCAGCACCTACAACCACAACTGCAGCACCTAAAACCACAACAGCAGCACCTACAACCGCAACTGCAGCACCTACAACCACAACTGCAGCACCTACAACCACAACTGCAGCACCTAGGACCACTATTGCAGCACCTACAACCACAACTGCAGCACCAACAACCACAATTGAAGCACCTACAACCACTACTGCAGCACCTACAACAACAACTGCAGCACCAACAACCACAACTGCAGCACCAACAACCAGGATTGCAGCACCTACAACCACAACTGCAGCACCAAAAACCACAACTACAGCACCTACAACCACATCTGCAGAACCTACAACCGCAACTGAAGCACCTACAACCACAACTGCGGCACCAAAAACCACAACTGCAGCACCAAAAACCACAACTGCAGCACATACAACCACAACTGCAGCACCTACAACAACAACTGCAGCACCAACAACCACAATTGAAGCACCTACAACCACTACTGCAGCACCGACAACCACAACTGCAGCACCAACAACCACAGCTGCAGCACCTACAACCACAACTGCAGCACCTACGACCAAGAGTGCAGCACCTACAACCACAACTGCAGCACCAAAAACCACAACTGCAGCACCTACAACCACAACTGCAGCACCTAAAACCACAACAGCAGCACCTACAACCGCAACTGCAGCACCTACAACCACAACTGCAGCACCTACAATCACAACTGAAGCACCTACAACCACTATTGCAGCACCTACAACCACAACTGCAGCACCAACAACCACAATTGAAGCACCTACAACCACTACCGCAGCACCTACAACCACAACTGCAGCACCTACAACCACAACTGCAGCACCTACAACCACAACTGCAGCACCTAAAACCACAACAGCAGCACCTACAACCGCAACTGCAGCACCTACAACCACAACTGCAGCACCTACAACCACAACTGCAGCACCTACAACCACTATTGCAGCACCTACAACCACAACTGCAGCACCAACAACCACAATTGAAGCACCTACAACCACTACTGCAGCACCTACAACCACAACTGCAGCACCAACAACCACAACTGCAGCACCAACAACCACGATTGCAGCACCTACAACCACAACTGCAGCACCTACAACCACAACTGCAGCACCAAAAACCACAACTACAGCACCTACAACCACATCTGCAGAACCTACAACCGCAACTGAAGCACCTACAACCACAACTGCGGCACCAAAAACCACAACTGCAGCACCTACAACCACAACTGCAGCACCAAAAATCACAACTGCAGCACATACAACTACCACTTCAGCACAAACCACCACAACTGCAATACCTACATCCACAACTGCAGCACCTACAGCCACAACTGCAGCACCTACAACCACAACTGCAGCACCGACAACCACAACTGCAGCACCAACAACCACAACTGCAGCACCAACAACCACGACTGCAGCACCTACAACCACAACTGCAGCACCTACAACCACAACTGCAGCACCTACAACCACAACTGCAGCACCAAAAACCACAACTACAGCACCTACAACCACTACTGCAGCACCTACAACCGCAACTGAAGCACCTACAACCACAATTGCAGCACCAACAACCACAACTGCAGCACCTACAACCACGACTGCAGCACCTACAACCACAACTGCGGCACCTACAACCACAATTACAGCACCTACCAACACAACTGCAGCACCTACAACCACAACTGCAGCACCTACAACCACAACTGCAGCACCAACAGCCACAACTGCAGCACCTACAACCACAACTGCAGCACCTACAACCACAACTGCAGCACCTACAACCACAACTGCAGCTCCAACAACCGCAACTGCAGCACCTACAACCACAACTGCAGCACCAACAACCACAACTGCAGCACATACAACTTCCACTTCAGCACAAACCACCACAACCGCAGCACCAACAACCACAACTGCTGCACCAACAACCACAACAGCAGAACCTACAACCACAACTGCAGCACCTACAACAACAACTGCAGCACAGGCAACCGCAACTGAAGCTTCTACAACCACAACTGCAGCACCTACAACCACTATTGCAGCACCTACAACCACAACTTCAGCACATACAACTACCACTTCAGCACAAACCACCACAACCGCAGCACCAACAACCACAACTGCAGCACCTACAACCACAACTGCAGCACCAACAACCGCAACTGAAGCACCTCCAACCACAACTGCAGCACCTACAACCACAACTGCAGCACCTACAACCACAACTCCAGCACCAAAAACCACAACTACAGCACCTACAACCACGGCTGCAGCACCTACAACCGCAACTGAAGCACCTACAACCACAACTGCACCACCAAAAACCACAACTGCAGCACCTACAGCCACAACTGCAGCACCAACAACCACAACTGCAGCACCTACAACCACAACTGCAGCACCTACAACCCCAACTGCAGCACCAAAAACCACAACTACAGCACCTACAACCACATCTGCAGCACCTACAACCACAACTGAAGCACCTACAACCACAACTGCAGCACCAAAAACCACAACTGCAGCACCAAAAACCACAACAGCAGCACCAAAAACCACAACTGCAGCACCTACAACCACAACTGCAGCACCTACAACCACAACAGCAGCACCTACAACCGCCACTGCAGCACCTACAACCACAACTGCAGCACCTGCAACCACAACTGCAGCACCTACAACCACTACTGCAGAACCTACAACCACAACTGCAGCACCAACAACCACAATTGTAGCACCTACAACCACTACTGCAGCACCAACAACCACAACTGCAGCACCAACAACCCCAGCTGCAGCACCTACAACCACAACTGCAGCACCTACGACCACAAGTGCAGCACCTACAACCACAACTGCAGCACCAAAAACCACAACTGCAGCACCTACAACCACAACTGCAGCACCTAAAACCACAACAGCAGCACCTACAACCGCAACTGCAGCACCTACAACCACAACTGCAGCACCTACAACCACAACTGCAGCACCTACAACCACAACTGCAGCACCTACAACCACTATTGCAGCACCTACAACCACAACTGCAGCACCAACAACCACAATTGAAGCACCTACAACCACTACTGCAGCACCTACTACAACAACTGCAGCACCAACAACCACAACTGCAGCACCAACAACCAGGATTGCAGCACCTACAACCACAACTGCAGCACCAAAAACCACAACTACAGCACCTACAACCACATCTGCAGAACCTACAACCGCAATTGAAGCACCTACAACCACAACTGCGGCACCAAAAACCACAACTGCAGCACCAAAAACCACAACTGCAGCACATACAACCACAACTGCAGCACCTACAACAACAACTGCAGCACCAACAACCACAATTGAAGCACCTACAACCACTACTGCAGCACCGACAACCACAACTGCAGCACCAACAACCACAGCTGCAGCACCTACAACCACAACTGCAGCACCTACGACCAAGAGTGCAGCACCTACAACCACAACTGCAGCACCAAAAACCACAACTGCAGCACCTACAACCACAACTGCAGCACCTAAAACCACAACAGCAGCACCTACAACCGCAACTGCAGCACCTACAACCACAACTGCAGCACCTACAACCACAACTGAAGCACCTACAACCACTATTGCAGCACCTACAACCACAATTGAAGCACCTACAACCACTACTGCAGCACCTACAACCACAACTGCAGCACCTACAACCACAACTGCAGCACCTAAAACCACAACAGCAGCACCTACAACCGCAACTGCAGCACCTACAACCACAACTGCAGCACCTACAACCACTATTGCAGCACCTACAACCACAACTGCAGCACCAACAACCACAATTGAAGCACCTACAACCACTACTGCAGCACCTACAACCACAACTGCAGCACCAACAACCACAACTGCAGCACCAACAACCACGATTGCAGCACCTACAACCACAACTGCAGCACCTACAACCACAACTGCAGCACCAAAAACCACAACTACAGCACCTACAACCACATCTGCAGAACCTACAACCGCAACTGAAGCACCTACAACCACAACTGCGGCACCAAAAACCACAACTGCAGCACCTACAACCACAACTGCAGCACCAAAAATCACAACTGCAGCACATACAACTACCACTTCAGCACAAACCACCACAACTGCAATACCTACATCCACAACTGCAGCACCTACAGCCACAACTGCAGCACCTACAACCACAACTGCAGCACCAACAACTGTAACTGAAGCACCTACAACCCCAATTGCAGCACCAACAACCACAACTGCAGCACCTACAACCACGACTGCAGCACCTACAACCACAACTGCGGCACCTACAACCACAATTACAGCACCTACCAACACAACTGCAGCATCTACAACCACAACTGCAGCACCTACAACCACAACTGCAGCACCAACAGCCACAACTGCAGCACCTACAACCACAACTGCAGCACCTACAACCACAACTGCAGCACCTACAACCACAACTGCAGCTCCAACAACTGCAACTGCAGCACCTACAACCACAACTGCAGCACCAACAACCACAACTGCAGCACATACAACTTCCACTTCAGCACAAACCACCACAACCGCAGCACCAACAACCACAACTGCAGCACCTACAACCACAACTGCACCACCTACGACCACAAGTGCAGCACCTACAACCACAACTGCAGCACCAAAAACCACAACTGCAGCACCAACAACCACAACAGCAGAACCTACAACCAGAACTGCAGCACCTACAACAACAACTGCAGCACATGTAACTGCAACTGAAGCTTCTACAACCACAACTGCAGCACCTACAACCTCTATTGCAGCACCTACAACCACAACTTCAGCACATACAACTACCACTTCAGCACAAACCACCACAACCGCAGCACCAATAACCACAACTGCAGCACCTACAACCACAACTGCAGCACCAACATCCGCAACTGAAGCACCTCCAACCACAACTGCAGCACCTACAACCACAACTGCAGCACCAAAAACCACAACTACAGCACCTACAACCGCAACTGAAGCACCTACAACCACAACTGCAGCACAAAAAACCACAACTACAGCACCTACAACCACAACTGCAGCACCTACAACCGCAACTGAAGCACCTACAACGACAACTGCAGCACAAAAACCCACAACTGCAGCACCAAAAACCACAACAGCAGCACCAAAAACCACAACTGCAGCACCTACAACCACAACTGCAGCACCTACAACCACAACAGCAGCACCTACAACCGCCACTGCAGCACCTACAACCACAACTGCAGCACCTGCAACCACAACTGCAGCACCTACAACCACTACTGCAGCACCTACAACCACAACTGCAGCACCAACAACCACAATTGAAGCACCTACAACCACTACTGCAGCACCAACAACCACAACTGCAGCACCAACAACCACAGCTGCAGCACCTACAACCACAACTGCAGCACCTACGACCACAACTGCAGCACCTACAACCACAACTGCAGCACCAAAAACCACAACTGCAGCACCTACAACCACAACTGCAGCACCTAAAACCACAACAGCAGCACCTACAACCGCAACTGCAGCACCTACAACCACAACTGCAGCACCTACAACCACAACTGCAGCACCTACAACCACAACTGCAGCACCTACAACCACTATTGCAGCACCTACAACCACAACTGCAGCACCAACAACCACAATTGAAGCACCTACAACCACTACTGCAGCACCTACAACAACAACTGCAGCACCAACAACCACAACTGCAGCACCAACAACCACGATTGCAGCACCTACAACCACAACTGCAGCACCAAAAACCACAACTACAGCACCTACAACCACATCTGCAGAACCTACAACCGCAACTGAAGCACCTACAACCACAACTGCGGCACCAAAAACCACAACTGCAGCACCTACAACCACAACTGCAGCACCAAAAACCACAACTGCAGCACATACAACCACAACTGCAGCACCTACAACCACAACTGCAGCACCAACAACCACAATTGAAGCACCTACAACCACTACTGCAGCACTGACAACCACAACTGCAGCACCAACAACCACAGCTGCAGCACCTACAACCACAACTGCAGCACCTACGACCAAGAGTGCAGCACCTACAACCACAACTGCAGCACCAAAAACCACAACTACAGCACCTACAACCACAACTGCAGCACCTAAAACCACAACAGCAGCACCTACAACCGCAACTGCAGCACCTACAACCACAACTGCAGCACCTACAACCACAACTGCAGCACCTACAACCACTATTGCAGCACCTACAACCACAACTGCAGCACCAACAACCACAATTGAAGCACCTACAACCACTACTGCAGCACCTACAACCACAACTGCAGCACCTACAACCACAACTGCAGCACCTCAAACCACAACAGCAGCACCTACAACCGCAACTGCAGCACCTACAACCACAACTGCAGCACCTACAACCACAACTGCAGCACCTACAACCACTATTGCAGCACCTACAACCACAACTGCAGCACCAACAACCACAATTGAAGCACCTACAACCACTACTGCAGCACCTACAACCACAACTGCAGCACCAACAACCACAACTGCAGCACCAACAACCACGATTGCAGCACCTACAACCACAACTGCAGCACCTACAACCACAACTGCAGCACCAAAAACCACAACTACAGCACCTACAACCACATCTCCAGAACCTACACCCGCAACTGAAGCACCTACAACCACAACTGCGGCACCAAAAACCACAACTGCAGCACCTACAACCACAACTGCAGCACCAAAAACCACATCTGCAGCACATACAACTACCACTTCAGCACAAACCACCACAACTGCAATACCTACATCCACAACTGCAGCACCTACAACCACAACTGCAGCACCTACAACCACAACTGCAGCACCAACAACTGTAACTGAAGCACTTACAACCCCAACTGCAGCACCAACAACCACAACTGCAGCACATACAACTTCCACTTCAGCACAAACCACCACAACCGCAGGACAAACAACCACAATTGCAGCACCTACAACCACAACTGCAGCACCAAAAACCACAACTGCAGCACCTACAACCACAACTGCAGAACCTACAACCACTATTGCAGCACCTACAACCACAACTGCAGCACCAACAACCACAATTGAAGCACCTACAACCACTACTGCAGCACCTACAACCACAACTACAGCACCTACAACCACATCTGCAGCACCTACAACCGCAACTGAAGCACCTACAACCACAACTGCAGCATCAAAAACCAAAACTGCAACACCAAATACCACAACTGCAGCACCTACAACCACAACTGCAGCACCTACAACCACAACAGCAGCACCTACAACCGCCACTGCAGCACCTACAACCACAACTGCAGCACCTGCAACCACAACTGCAGCACCTACAACCACTACTGCAGCACCTACAACCACAAATGCAGCACCAACAACCACAATTGAAGCACCTACAACCACTACTGCAGCACCGACAACCACAACTGCAGCACCAACAACCACAACTGCAGCACCAACAACCACGACTGCAGCACCTACAACCACAACTGCAGCACCTACAACCACAACTGCAGCACCAAAAACCACAACTACAGCACCTACAACCACAACTGCAGCACCAAAAACCACAACTACAGCACTTACAACCACATCTGCAGCACCTACAACCGCAACTGAAGCACCTACAACCACAACTGCTGCACCAAAAACCACAACTGCAGCACCTACAACCACAACTGCAGCACCAACAACCACAACTGCAGCACCTACAACCACAACTGCAGCACCAACAACCGCAACTGAAGCACCTAAAACCACACCTGCAGCACCTACAACCACAACTGCAGCACCTACAACCACAACAGCAGCTCCTACAACCACAACTGCAGCACCAAAAACCACAACAGCAGCACCAAAAACCACAACTGCAGCACCTACAACCACAACTGCAGCACCTACAACCACAACAGCAGCACCTACAACCGCCACTGCAGCACCTACAACCACAACTGCAGCACCTGCAACCACAACTGCAGCACCTACAACCACTACTGCAGCACCTACAACCACAACTGCAGCACCAACAACCACAATTGAAGCACCTACAACCACTACTGCAGCACCGACAACCAGAACTGCAGCACCAACAACCACAACTGCAGCACCAACAACCACGACTGCAGCACCTACAACCACAACTGCAGCACCAAAAACCACAACTGCAGCACCAAAAACCACAACTGCAGCACATACAACTACCACTTCAGCACAAACCACCATAACTGCAATACCTACATCCACAACTGCAGCACCTACAACCACAACTGCAGCACCTAGAACCACAACTGCAGCACCAACAACTGCAACTGAAGCACCTACAACCCCAACTGCAGCACCAACAACCACAACTGCAGCACATACAACTTCCACTTCAGCACAAACCACCACAACCGCAGGACAAACAACCACAATTGCAGCACCTACAACCACAACTGCAGCACCTACAACCACAACTGCAGCACCTACAACCACAACTGCAGCACCTACAACCACTATTGCAGCACCTACAACCACAACTGCAGCACCAACAACCACAATTGAAGCACCTACAACCACAAGTACAGCACCTACAACCACATCTGCAGCACCTACAACCGCAACTGAAGCACCTACAACCACAACTGCAGCACCTGCAACCACAACTGCAGCACCTACAACCACTACTGCAGCAACTACAACCACAACTGCAGCACCAACAACCACAATTGAAGCACCTACAACCACTACTGCAGCACCGACAACCACAACTGCAGCACCAACAACCACAACTGCAGCACCAACAACCACGACTGCAGCACCTACAACCACAACTGCAGCACCTACAACCACAACTGCAGCACCAAAAACCACAACTACAGCACCTACAACCACATCTGCAGCACCTACAACCGCAACTGAAGCACCTACAACCACAATTGCAGCAAAAACAACCACAACTGCAGCACCTACAACCACGACTGCAGCACCTACAACCACAACTTCAGCACCTACAACCACTATTGCAGCACCTACAACCACAACTGCAGCACCAACAACCACAATTGAAGCACCTACAACCACTACTGCAGCACCTACAACCACAACTACAGCACCTACAACCACATCTGCAGCACCTACAACCGCAATTGAAGCACCTACAACCACAACTGCAGCATCAAAAACCACAACTGCAGCACCAAAAACCACAACAGCAGCACCAAAAACCACAACTGCAGCACCTACAACCACAACTGCAGCACCTAAAACCACAACAGCAGCACCTACAACCGCCACTGCAGCACCTACAACCACAACTGCAGCACCTACAACCACTACTGCAGCACCTAAAACCACAACTGCAGCACCAACAACCACAATTGAAGCACCCACAACCACTACTGCAGCACCGACAACCACAACTGCAGCACCAACAACCACAACTGCAGCACCAACAACCACGACTGCAGCACCTACAACCACAACTGCAGCACCTACAACCACAACTGCAGCACCAAAAACCACAACTACAGAACCTACAACCACATCTGCAGCACCTACAACCGCAACTGAAGCACCTACAACCACAATTGCAGCACCAACAACCACAACTGCAGCACCTACAACCACGACTGCAGCACCTACAACCACAACTGCGGCACCTACAACCACAATTGCAGCACCTACCAACACAACTGCAGCACCTACATCCACAACTGCAGCACCTACAACCACAACTGCAGCACCTACAACCACAACTGCAGCACCAACAGCCACAACTGCAGCACCTACATCCACAACTGCAGCACCTACAACCACAACTGCAGCACATACAACTTCCACTTCAGCACAAACCACCACAACCGCAGCACCAACAACCACAACTGCAGCACCTACAACCACAACTGCAGCACCTAAAACCACAACAGCAGCACCTACAACCGCAACTGCAGCACCTACAACCACAACTGCAGCACCTACAACCGCAACTGCAGCACCTACAACCACTATTGCAGCACCTACAACCACAACTGCAGCACCTACAACCACAATTGAAGCACCTACAACCACGACTGCAGCACCTACAACCACAACTGCAGCACCAACAACCACAACTGCAGCACCAACAACCACGATTGCAGCACCTACAACCACAACTGCAGCACCTACAACCACAACTGCAGCACCAAAAACCACAACTACAGCACCTACAACCACATCTGCAGAACCTACAACCGCAACTGAAGCACCTACAACCACAACTGCGGCACCAAAAACCACAACTGCAGCACCTACAACTACCACTTCAGCACAAACCACCACAACTGCAATACCTACATCCACAACTGCAGCACCTACAACCACAACTGCAGCACCAACAACTGCAACTGAAGCACCTACAATCCCAACTGCAGCACCAACAACCACAACTGCAGCACATACAACTTCCACTTCAGCACAAACCACCACAACCGCAGGACAAACAACCACAATTGCAGCACCTACAACCACAACTGCAGCACCTACAACCACGACTGCAGCACCTACAACCACAACTGCAGCACCAACAACCGCAACTGCAGCAACTACAACCACAACTGCAGCACCTGCAACCACAACTGCAGCACCTACAACCACTACTGCAGCACCTACAACCACAACTGCAGCACCAACAACCACAATTGAAGCACCTACAACCACTACTGCAGCACCGACAACCACAACTGCAGCACCAACAACCACAACTGCAGCACCAACAACCACGACTGCAGCACCTACAACCACAACTGCAGCACCTACAACCACAACTGCAGCACCAAAAACCACAACTACAGCACCTACAACCACATCTGCAGCACCTACAACCACAGCTGAAGCACCTACAACCACAACAGCAGCTCCTACAACCACAACTGCAGCACCAAAAACCACAACAGCAGCACCAAAAACCACAACTGCAGCACCTACAACCACAACTGCAGCACCTACAACCACAACAGCAGCACCTACAACCGCCACTGCAGCACCTACAACCACAACTGCAGCACCTGCAACCACAACTGCAGCACCTACAACCACTACTGCAGCACCTACAACCACAACTGCAGCACCAACAACCACAATTGAAGCACCTACAACCACTACTGCAGCACCGACAACCAGAACTGCAGCACCAACAACCACAACTGCAGCACCAACAACCACGACTGCAGCACCTACAACCACAACTGCAGCACCAAAAACCACAACTGCAGCACCAAAAACCACAACTGCAGCACATACAACTACCACTTCAGCACAAACCACCATAACTGCAATACCTACATCCACAACTGCAGCACCTACAACCACAACTGCAGCACCTAGAACCACAACTGCAGCACCAACAACTGCAACTGAAGCACCTACAACCCCAACTGCAGCACCAACAACCACAACTGCAGCACATACAACTTCCACTTCAGCACAAACCACCACAACCGCAGGACAAACAACCACAATTGCAGCACCTACAACCACAACTGCAGCACCTACAACCACAACTGCAGCACCTACAACCACAACTGCAGCACCTACAACCACTATTGCAGCACCTACAACCACAACTGCAGCACCAACAACCACAATTGAAGCACCTACAACCACAAGTACAGCACCTACAACCACATCTGCAGCACCTACAACCGCAACTGAAGCACCTACAACCACAACTGCAGCATCACAAACCACAACTGCAGCACCAAAAACCACAACTGCAGCACCAAAAACCACAACTGCAGCACCTACAACCACAACTGCAGCACCTACAACCTCAACAGCAGCACCTACAACCGCCACTGCAGCACCTACAACCACAACTGCAGCACCTGCAACCACAACTGCAGCACCTACAACCACTACTGCAGCAACTACAACCACAACTGCAGCACCAACAACCACAATTGAAGCACCTACAACCACTACTGCAGCACCGACAACCACAACTGCAGCACCAACAACCACAACTGCAGCACCAACAACCACGACTGCAGCACCTACAACCACAACTGCAGCACCAAAAACCACAACTACAGCACCTACAACCACATCTGCAGCACCTACAACCGCAACTGAAGCACCTACAACCACAATTGCAGCAAAAACAACCACAACTGCAGCACCTACAACCACGACTGCAGCACCTACAACCACAACTTCAGCACCTACAACCACTATTGCAGCACCTACAACCACAACTGCAGCACCAACAACCACAATTGAAGCACCTACAACCACTACTGCAGCACCTACAACCACAACTACAGCACCTACAACCACATCTGCAGCACCTACAACCGCAATTGAAGCACCTACAACCACAACTGCAGCATCAAAAACCACAACTGCAGCACCAAAAACCACAACAGCAGCACCAAAAACCACAACTGCAGCACCTACAACCACAACTGCAGCACCTAAAACCACAACAGCAGCACCTACAACCGCCACTGCAGCACCTACAACCACAACTGCAGCACCTACAACCACTACTGCAGCACCTAAAACCACAACTGCAGCACCAACAACCACAATTGAAGCACCCACAACCACTACTGCAGCACCGACAACCACAACTGCAGCACCAACAACCACAACTGCAGCACCAACAACCACGACTGCAGCACCTACAACCACAACTGCAGCACCTACAACCACAACTGCAGCACCAAAAACCACAACTACAGAACCTACAACCACATCTGCAGCACCTACAACCGCAACTGAAGCACCTACAACCACAATTGCAGCACCAACAACCACAACTGCAGCACCTACAACCACGACTGCAGCACCTACAACCACAACTGCGGCACCTACAACCACAATTGCAGCACCTACCAACACAACTGCAGCACCTACATCCACAACTGCAGCACCTACAACCACAACTGCAGCACCTACAACCACAACTGCAGCACCAACAGCCACAACTGCAGCACCTACATCCACAACTGCAGCACCTACAACCACAACTGCAGCACATACAACTTCCACTTCAGCACAAACCACCACAACCGCAGCACCAACAACCACAACTGCAGCACCTACAACCACAACTGCAGCACCTAAAACCACAACAGCAGCACCTACAACCGCAACTGCAGCACCTACAACCACAACTGCAGCACCTACAACCGCAACTGCAGCACCTACAACCACTATTGCAGCACCTACAACCACAACTGCAGCACCTACAACCACAATTGAAGCACCTACAACCACGACTGCAGCACCTACAACCACAACTGCAGCACCAACAACCACAACTGCAGCACCAACAACCACGATTGCAGCACCTACAACCACAACTGCAGCACCTACAACCACAACTGCAGCACCAAAAACCACAACTACAGCACCTACAACCACATCTGCAGAACCTACAACCGCAACTGAAGCACCTACAACCACAACTGCGGCACCAAAAACCACAACTGCAGCACCTACAACTACCACTTCAGCACAAACCACCACAACTGCAATACCTACATCCACAACTGCAGCACCTACAACCACAACTGCAGCACCAACAACTGCAACTGAAGCACCTACAATCCCAACTGCAGCACCAACAACCACAACTGCAGCACATACAACTTCCACTTCAGCACAAACCACCACAACCGCAGGACAAACAACCACAATTGCAGCACCTACAACCACAACTGCAGCACCTACAACCACGACTGCAGCACCTACAACCACAACTGCAGCACCAACAACCGCAACTGCAGCAACTACAACCACAACTGCAGCACCTGCAACCACAACTGCAGCACCTACAACCACTACTGCAGCACCTACAACCACAACTGCAGCACCAACAACCACAATTGAAGCACCTACAACCACTACTGCAGCACCGACAACCACAACTGCAGCACCAACAACCACAACTGCAGCACCAACAACCACAACTGCAGCACCTACAACCACAACTGCAGCACCTACAACCACAACTGCAGCACCAAAAACCACAACTACAGCACCTACAACCACATCTGCAGCACCTACAACCACAGCTGAAGCACCTACAACCACAATTGCAGCACCAACAACCACAACTGCAGCACCTACAACCACGACTGCAGCACCTACAACCACAATTGCGGCACATACCACCACAATTGCAGCACCTACCAACACAACTGCAGCACCTACAACCACAACTGCAGCACCTACAACCACAACTGCAGCACCTACAACCACAACTGCAGCACCAACAGCCACAACTGCAGCACCTACAACCACAACTGCAGCACCTACAACCACAACTGCGGCACATACCACCACAATTGCAGCACCTACCAACACAACTGCAGCACCTACAACCACAACTGCAGCACCTACAACCACAACTGCAGCACCTAAAACCACAACAGCAGCACTTACAACAGGAACTGCAGCACCTACAACCAGAACTGCAGCACCTACAACCACAACTGCAGCACCAACAACCACTATTGCAGCACCTACAACCACAACTGCAGCACCTACAACCACAATTGAAGCACCTACAACCACGACTGCAGCACATACAACCACAACTGTAGCACCAACAACCACAACTGCAGTACCAACAACCACAATTGCAGCAGCTACAACCACAACTGCAGCACCAAAAACCACAACTAAAGCACCTACAACCACATCTGCAGCACCTACAACCGCAACTGAAGTGCCTACAACCACAACTGCGGCACCAAAAACCACAACTGCAGCACCTACAACCACAACTGCAGCACCAAAAACCACAACTGCAGCACATACAACTACCTCTTCAGCACAAACCACCACAAAGGCAATACCTACACCCACAACTGCAGCACCTACAACCACAACTGCAGCACCAACAACTGCAACTGAAGCACCTACAACCCCAACTGCAGCACCAACAACCACAACTGCAGCACATACAACTTCCACTTCAGCACAAACCACCACAACCGCAGGACAAACAACCACAATTGCAGCACCTACAACCACAACTGCAGCACCTACAACCACAACTGCAGCACCAACAACCGCAACTGCAGCAACTACAACCACAACTGCAGCACCTACAACCACAACTGCAGCACCAACAACCGCAACTGAAGCACCTACAACCACAACTGCAGCACCAACAACCACAATTGCAGCACCTACAACCACAACTGAAGCAACTTCAACCACAACTGCAGCACCTACAACCACAACTGCAGCACCAACAACCGCAACTGAAGCACCTACAACCACAACTGCAGCACATACAACTACCACTTCACCAATAACTACAACTGCAGCATCAACACCCACGACTGGAGCTCCTACAACCACAACTGCATTACTTACAACCACAACAGCAGCACCTACAACCGCAACTGAAGCACCTACAACCACAACTGCAGCACAAACCACCACAACCGGAGCACCAACAACCACAACGGCAGCACTTACAACCACAACTGCCGCACCTACAACCACAACAGCAGAACCTACAACCACAACTGCAGCACCTACAACAACAACTGCAGCACCAGCAACAACAACTGAAGCACCTACAACCACAACTTCAGCACCAACAACCACAACTGCAGCAACTACAACCACATCTGCAGCACCTAAAACCGCAACTGAAGCTTCTACAACCACAACTGCAGCACCTACAACCACAACTGCAGCACCAACATTTGCTTTTGAAGAACCTACAACCACAACTGCAGCACCAACAACCACAACTGCAGCACATACAACTACCACTTCAGCACAAACCACCACAACCACAGCACCAACAACCACAACTGCAGCACCTACAACCACAACTGCAGCACCTACAACCACAACTGCAGCAGCAACAACTTCAACTGAAGCACCTCCAACCACAACTGCAGCACCTACAACCACAACTGCAGCATCAAAAACCACAACTGCAGCACCTACAACCACAACTGCAGCACCAACAACCGCAACTGAATCACATACAACCGCAACTGAAGCACCTACAACCACAATTTCAGCACCTACGACCACAACTGCAGCACCAACAACCACAACTGCTGCACCAACAACCACGACTGCTGCACCTACAACCACAACTGCAGCACCTACAACCACAACTGCAGCACCAAAAACCACAACTATTGCACCTACAACCACATCTGCAGCACCTACAACCGCAACTGCAGCACCAAAAACCACAACTGCAGCACCTACAACCACAACTGCAGCACCAACAACAGCAACTGAAGCACCTCCAACCACAACTGCAGCACCCACAACCACAACTGCAGCACAAACAACTACCACCTCAGCACAAACCACCACAACTGCAATACCTACATCCACAACTGCAGCACCTACAAGCACAACTGCAGCACCTACAACCACAACTGCAGCACATACAACTTCCACTTCAGCACAAACCACCACAACCGCAGGACAAACAACCACAATTGCAGCACCTACAACCACAACTGCAGCACCTACGACCACAAGTGCAGCACCTACAACCACAACTGCAGCACCAACAACCACAACTGCAGCACCTACAACCACGACTTCAGCACCTACAACCACAACTGCAGCACCTACAACAACAACTGCAGCAACTACAACTTCCACTTCACCAACAACTACAACTAAAGCATCAACACCCACGACTGGAGCTCCTACAACCACAACTGCAGCACCTACAACCACAACTGCATTACCTACAACCACAACTGCTGCACCTACAACCGCAACTGAAGCACCTACAACCACAACTGTAGCACCTACACCCACTACTGCAGTACCTACAACCACAACTGCAGCACAAACCACCACAACCGAAGCACCTACAACCACAACTGTAGCACCAACAACCACAACTGCAGCACCAACAACCACAACTGCAGCACCTACAACCACGACTGCAGCACCTACAACCACAACTGCGGCACCTACAACCACAAGTGCAGCACCTACCAACACAACTGCAGCACCTACAACCACAACTGCAGCACCTACAACCACAACTGCAGCACCTACAACTACCACTTCACCAACAACTACAACTGCAGCATCAACACCCACGACTGGATCTCCTACAACCACAACTGCAGCACCAACAACCACAACTGCATTACCTACAACCGCAACTGAAGCACCTACAACCACAACTGTAGAACCTACACCCACTACTGCAGTACCTACAACCACAACTGCAGCACAAACCACCACAACCGAAGGACCAACAACCACAACTGCAGCACTTACAACCACAACTGCCGCACCTACAACCACAACAGCAGAACCTACAACCACAACTGCAGCACCTACAACAACAACTGCAGCACCAGCAACCGCAACTGAAGCTTCTACAACCACAACTGCAGCAACTACAACCACTACTGCAGCACCAACAACCACTACTGCAGTACCTACAACCACAACTGCAGCACAAACCACCACAACCGAAGCACCAACAACCACAACTGCAGCACTTACAACCACAACTGCCGCACCTACAACAACAACAGCAGAACCTACAACCACTACTGCAGCACCTACAACAACAACTGAAGCACCAGCAACCGCAACTGAAGCTTCTACAACTACAACTGAAGCACCTACAACCACTATTGCAGCACCTACAACCACAACTTCAGCACAGACAACTACCACTTCAGCACAAACCACCACAACCGCAGCACCAACAACCACAACTGCAGCACCTACAACCACAACTGCAGCATCAACAACCGCAACTGAAGCACCTCCAACCACAACTGCAGCACCTAAAACCACAACTGCAGCACCTACAACCACAACTGCTGCACCAAAAACAACAACTATAGCACCTACAACCACGGCTGCAGCACCTACAACCACAACTGAAGCACCTACAACCACAACTGCAGCACCAAAAACCACAACTGCAGCACCTACAACCACAACTGCAGCACCAACAACCGCAACTGAAGCACCTACAACCACAACTGCAGCACTTACAACCACAACTGCAGCACCAAAAACCACAACTACAGCACCTACAACCACATCTGCAGCACCTACAACCGCAACTGAAGCACCTACAACCACAACTGCAGCACCAAAAACCACAACTGCAGCACCAAAATCCTCAACTGCAGCACCAAAAACCACAACTGCAGCACCAACAACCACTACTGCAGTACCTACAACCACAACTGCAGCACAAACCACCAAAACCGAAGCACCAACAACCACAACTGCAGCACTTACAACCACAACTGCCGCACCTACAACAACAACAGCAGAACCTACAACCACTACTGCAGCACCTACAACAACAACTGAAGCACCAGCAACCGCAACTGAAGCTTCTACAACTACAACTGCAGCACCTACAACCACTATTGCAGCACCTACAACCACAACTTCAGCACAGACAACTACCACTTCAGCACAAACCACCACAACCGCAGCACCAACAACCACAACTGCAGCACCTACAACCACAACTGCAGCATCAACAACCGCAACTGAAGCACCTCCAACCACAACTGCAGCACCTAAAACCACAACTGCAGCACCTACAACCACAACTGCTGCACCAAAAACAACAACTATAGCACCTACAACCACGGCTGCAGCACCTACAACCACAACTGAAGCACCTACAACCACAACTGCAGCACCAAAAACCACAACTGCAGCACCTACAACCACAACTGCAGCACCAACAACCGCAACTGAAGCACCTACAACCACAACTGCAGCACTTACAACCACAACTGCAGCACCAAAAACCACAACTACAGCACCTACAACCACATCTGCAGCACCTACAACCGCAACTGAAGCGCCTACAACCACAACTGCAGCACCAAAAACCACAACTGTAGCACCAAAATCCTCAACTGCAGCACCAAAAACCACAACTGCAGCACCAAAAACCACAACTGCAGCACCTACAACCACAACTGCAGCACCAACAACGGCAACTGAAGCACCTACAACCACAACTGCAGCACCAACAACCACAACTGAAGCACATACAACTACCACTTCACCAACAACTACAACTGCATCATCAACACCCACGACTGGAGCTCCTACAACCACAAGTGCAGCGCCTACCAACACAACTGCAGCACCTACAACCACAACTGCAGCACCTACAACCACAACTGCAATACCTACAACGACAACTGCAGCACCTACAACCGCAACTGAAGCACCTACAACCACAACTTTAGCACCTATACCCACTACTGCAGTACCTACAACCACAACTGCAGCACAAACCACCACAACCGAAGCACCAACAACCACAACTACAGCACTTACAACCACAACTGCCGCACCTACAACCACAACAGCAGAACCTACAACCACAACTGCAGCACCTACAACAACAACTGCAGCACCAGACACCACAACTGAAGCACCTACAACCACAACTTCAGCACCAACAACCACAACTGCAGCGCCTACAACCACATCTGCAGCACCTACAACCGCAACTGAAGCTTCTACAACCACAACTGCAGCACCTACAACCACTACTGCAGCACCTACAACCACAGCTGCAGCACCAACATTTGCCATTGAAGAACCGACAACCACAACTGCAGCACCAACAACCACAACTGCAGCACATACAACTACCACTTCAGCACAAACCACCACAACCGCAGCACCAACAACCACAACTGCAGCACCTACAACCACAACTGCAGCACCAACAACCGCAACTGAAGCACCTACAACCACAACTGCAGCACCTACAACCACAACTGCAGCACCAACAACCACAACTGCAGCACCTACAACCACAACTGCAGCACCTACAACAACAACTGCAGCACCAAAAACCACAACTACAGCACCTACAACCACAACTGCAGCACCAAAAACCACAACTACAGCACCTACAACCACATCTGCAGCACCAAAAACCACAACTGCAGCACCTACAAGCACAACTGCAGCACCAACAACCGCAACTGAAGCACCTCCAACAACAACTGCAGGACCAACAACCACAACTGCAGCACATACAACTACCACTTCAGCACAAACCACCACAACTGCAATACCTACATCCACAACTGCAGCACCTACGACCACAACTGCAGCACCTACAACCACAACTGCAGCACCAACAACTGCAACTGAAGCACCTACAACACCAACTGCAGCACCAACAACCACAACTGCAGCACGTACAACTTCCACTTCAGCACAAACCACCACAACTGCAGCACCTACAACCACGACTGCAGCACCTACAACCACAACTGCGGCATCTACAACCACAAGTGCAGCACTTACCAACACAACTGCAGCACCTACAACCACAACTGCAGCACCTACAACCACAACTGCAGCACCTACAACCACAACTGCAGCACCAACAACCGCAACTGAAGCACCAACAACCGCAACTGAAGCACCTACAACCACAACTGCAGCACCAACAACCACAACTGAAGCACATACAACTACCACTTCACCAACAACTACAACTGCAGCATCAACACCCACGACTGGATCTCCTACAACCACAACTGCAGCACCTACAACCACAACTGCATTACCTACAACCACAACTGCAGCACCTACAACCGCAACTGAAGCACCTACAACCACAACTGTAGCACCTATACCCACTACTGCAGTACCTACAACCACAACTGCAGCACAAACCACCACAACCGAAGCACCAACAACCACAACTGCAGCACTTACAACCACAACTGCCGCACCTACAACCACAACAGCAGAACCTACAACCACAACTGCAGCACCTACAACAACAACTGCAGCACCAGCAACCACAACTGAAGCACCTACAATCACTACTTCAGCACCAACAACCACAACTGCAGCGCCTACAACCACATCTGCAGCACCTACAACCGCAACTGAAGCTTCTACAACCACAACTGGCCCACCTACAACCACTACTGCAGCACCTACAACCACAACTGCAGCACCAACATTTGCTATTGAAGAACCTACAACCACAACTGCAGCACCAACAACCACAACTGCAGCACATACAACTACCTTTTCAGCACAAACCACCACAACCGCAGCACCTCCAACCACAACTGCAGCACATACAACCACAACTGCAGCACCAAAAACCACAACTACAGCACCTACAACCACATCTGCAGCACCTACAACTGCAACTGAAGCACCTACAACCACAACTGCAGCACCAAAAACCACAACTGCAGCACCTACAACCACAACTGCAGCACCAACAACCGCAAATGAAGCACCTCCAACCACAACTGCAGGACCAACAACCACAACTGCAGCACATACAACTACCACTTCAGCACAAACCACCACAACTGCAATACCTACATCCACAACTGCAGCACCTACAACCACAACTGCAGCACCAACAACTGCAACTGAAGCACCTACAACCCCAACTGCAGCACCAACAACCACAACTGCAGCACATACAACTTCCACTTTAGCACAAACCACCACAACCGCAGGACAAACAACCACAATTGCAGCACCTACAACCACAACTGCAGCACCTACAACCACAACTGGAGCACCAACAACTGTAACTGAAGCACCTACAACCACAACTGCAGCACCTGCAACCACAACTGCAGCACCTACAACCACTACTGCAGCACCTACAACCACAACTGCAGCACGAACAACCACAATTGAAGCACCTACAACCACTACTGCAGCACCTACAACCACAACTGCAGAACCAACAACCACAACTGCAGCACATACAACTTCCACTTCAGCAAAAACCACCACAACCGCAGCACCAACAACCACAACTGCAGCACCTACAACCACAACTGCAGCACCTACGACCACAAGTGCAGCACCTACAACCACAACTGCAGCACCAACAACCACAACTGCAGCACCAACAACCACAACTGCAGCACCTACAACCACGACTGCAGCACCTACAACCACAACTGCGGCACCTACAACCACAAGTGCAGCACCTACCAACACAACTGCAGCGCCTACAACCACAACTGCAGCACCTACAACCACAACTGCAGCACCAACAACCGCAACTGAAGCACCTACAACCACAACTGCAGCACCAACAACCACAACTGCAGCACATACAACTACCACTTCACCAACAACTACAACTGCAGCATCAACACCCACGACTGCAGCACCTACAACCACAACTGCGGCACCTACAACCACAAGTGCAGCACCTACCAACACAACTGCAGCACCTACAACCACAACTGCAGCACCTACAACCACAACTGCAGCAACAACAACCGCAACTGAAGCACCTACAACCACAACTGCTCCACCAACAACCACAACTGCAGTGTCAATAACAACAATTTCAGCACATACAACCACAGTTGCTGCACCAACAACCACAACTGCAGCTCCAACAACCACTGCAGCAGTACCTACAACCACAACTGCAACACCAACTATCACAAATGCAACATCAGCATCAAAAGTTGCAGCACTATCAACCACAACTGCACCGCCTAGGACCACAACTGCAGTACCAACTACCACAACTGCAGCACCTATGAGCACAACTGCATCAACAACCACAACTGCAGTACCTACAGCGACAATTGTTTCTTCCACAACAACAACCACACTACCATCTAACTCTACTTCTGTTTCAGCAGTCTCTTCTGAAGCACCAACAAGTGCAATTTCATTATCTAAAAGAACAACAGCTGCTGCCCCCACAAACAGCACAGAGGTAATTACAACAACAGCATTTATGACCACAACTTCGGCACTAACAACCCCAACGATACCAGCAAGAATTACAACCACAGCACCAATAAGCACAACTGCAGAGCCAGCAACATCAATTGCAGAACCTACTTCAGCAATGGCTGTGCCTGCAACCATCACAAATCTAGCGCCAACGACCACATTTGCAACTCTAAAAGGCAAATCAACAGTATTTCTATCTACAGCTGAGTTTAACACTATCAAAACTGCTGCAACAGCAAATGCTGTTCAAACAACTACAGCACAGACCTCAGCAACCTCTGCAAAGACCACAATTTCAGAACTAACAATCATGTCTGTAACTCCAACTACCAGAACTGCGGTCCCAAACACCACAATTTCTTCACCATCCACAACTATAACTACTACTATTGCAACCACTACCGCCACATCACCAACCAATACAACTACTACACCAACTACTACTCTTACCACTACCACCACAACTCCAATCACTAAAACCACTACTTCAACCACTACCACCGCAACACCAACCACCAAAACCACTACTCCAACCACCACCACGACTCCAACTAATATACCAACCACTACAGCTACCAAACCAACCTCTACCACCACAACCACATTCACTAAAACTACTAAACCAACTACTCCAACCACAACTACCACAACACCAACCACTAAAACTACTACTTCAACCATTACCATCACAACACCAACCACTACAACAACCAAACCAACTTCTACTCCAACCACTACAACCACCAAACCAACTTCTACTCCAACCACTAAAACCACTACTCCAACCACTACCATCACAACACTAACCACTAAAACTGCTACTTCAACCACTACCACCACAACACCAACCACTAAAACTACCAGACCATCTACTGCTCCAACTACTACCACCACAACTCCAACCACTAAAACTACTACTACAACCACAACACCAACCACTACAACAACCAAACCAACTTCTACTCCAACCACTACAACCACCAAACCAACTTCTACTCCAACCACTAAAACCACTACTCCAACCACTACCATCACAACACTAACCACTAAAACTGCTACTTCAACCACTACCACCACAACACCAACCACTAAAACTACCAAACCATCTACTGCTCCAACTACTACCACCACAACTCCAACCACTAAAACTACTACTTCAACCACTACCACCACAACACCAACCACTAAAACTACCAAACCATCTACTGCTCCAACTACTACCACCACAACACCAACCACTAAAACTACTACTTCAACCACTACCACCACAACACCAACCACTAAAACTACCAAACCATCTACTGCTTCAACTACTACCACCACGACTCCAACCACTAAATCTACTACTTCAACCACTACCACCACAACACCAACCACTAAAACTACCAAACCATCTACTGCTCCAACTACTACCACCACAACACCAACCACTAAAACTACTACTTCAACCACTACCACCACAACACCAACCACTAAAACTACCAAACCATCTACTGCTCCAACTACTACCACCACAACTCCAACCACTAAAACTACTACTTCAACCACTACCACTGCAACACCAACCCCTAAAACGACTACTTCAACCACTACCACTACCACCACAACACCAACCACTAAAACTACCAAACCATCTACTGCTCCAACTACTACCACCACAACTCCAACCACTAAAACTACTACTTCAACCACTACCACCGCAACACCAACCCCTAAAACTACTACTTCAACCACTACCACCACAACACCAACCACTAAAACCACTACTCCAACGACTCCAACTAATAAACCAACCACTGGAACCACTGCACCACCTACAAAAACTACTACTAAAACAACAACCACCAGTGATGCATCTAGCATCCGGCTGAGTGTATTTCATCTACTTCTTGGACTTTTAGTGTTTTTTTTCTAAATAATTTTACACAAATGAGAACAATCACATTTAATCAGGTCATTATTTGGAAGACTTGTCTTCAGTCTGGTTTATTTGTTTTACACTATTAAACTGAGGTGTCGATGTATTTATAAGTTTATTTTACATTGCCTGAGAAAACTATGGGAAAATAAATGGAATTAAATTTTATTTATAAGTTTAGACAATATTTTTTCTATTTATCAATTATGTTCCTGTGTTGTTGTTGTTGTTTTGTTTTGTATTTGGTTTTGGTTTCCTTCTTCATTTTTGCAATTAACATAATTATATAAGTGATGTCTGGGATTATAAAATAAATCTAGTTGAATTAAACAAGGTTTAATTAGTTATCTAATTAATCTTAACCCATCAAATGCCAGTTCAGTTCTCTGCGATTCGGCTGGTCATGAAGTCCTCTCGGAAAGCCAATAGTTTGACTTCTGGATATCACAGGCCTCTGAATCAGCAGTTCGGAGATAGCCCCCTGGGTCTGCAGGCGGACCGTTTCATGGCTGATGAGTTATTTTGCAGATTAAACAAATAATAATTGGTTGATTCTGCAAAATGATGATTCTTTGTGCCACTAAAATTATCACACAGAAAACTCTGGATTGATTTCCCATTGGATGGCAATTTAGCGTTAGCTGGAAGCTTTTAACAGGAACTGCCGAATATAGGAAGTGCTTTCTCTTTTAAGGGTTCATTGTTTATAAGTTTTGGACCAACCAGATTTATGAAATTTTAATCGGCGTTTTCAAAGAGTCATCTGACCTTTGTCAGACAACTTTATTTCAATTAATATGTGAAATAAATATGTTCAACGGTCATTTGTTAATACTGATATCAATATGTGACATAACTGATAATAAATCATTATTAAATCATCAAGTTGACTCGTTTGGTGTATTTAAGATCTGAAATAAGGCAAGACGATTTCGTCAGTTTGAAGAGCTTTGTCAGCCTGTATATAGTCTCTCCTGCCTCGCCTACAGCTGCCATTCACTCTGATGGAGACTGTGAAAACAGACAGGTTTTCTAAAATGTGGCCCACGGGCCATTTGTGTCCCTTGGATTGAATCTGTGCAACGCTCTGCTGCAGTCAAAGAATGACAAAATGTTGTGTTCCAGTAATGGATGGATGAATGTTAGTGACTGTTTCAATCAATCAGTCAATGGTAATTTATGTAGCACTTCACACTACTCAGAGGGTGACCAAAGGGCTTAACATTTAATAAGGAAAAGGAAACAGTATAAACAACAATAATCAGTTAAGAACCGCTTTTCAGTTATTTTCAGTTAGTACTCTTTTTTGCACCATGAATCAGTAAAGATCCTATTTGAGTAGACTACATAATAATTATATAAGAATGGTCTTTATTTTTTATTAATTCATTCAAAATAAACAAGTTTGATGAAAAACACTAACAGAAAAGATTAACATAGAAAGGATGTGATTCTTTTTTTAACCTGTTTAACCCTAACACCTCCAAATTGATGGCCTCTACAGTTTCATGTCCCAAACATCTACAACTGTCGACATTCTCCAAACACAACTAAAGCCACAATCAAACAGCCCAGATGGGAAACAAGGCCATTTTAAATGTAATAAATTAAGTTACAATGATATATGAACTTTATTTTTGAAGAGCACCTTCTCTGGTGTCTGCTGGGGGAAAAAAATAACATTGAACAAATTTAGTTGAGGACCCCTGGAACAAATAAAACAATTGACTTAATTTCCTAAATGGAATTTGAACTCACAACCTCCATCCTGTTAGAACTTTCACACAGGGCAGCTGTTCTAAAATAAAGTTAAAGTATTATTTTATCTTAATGTATCAAAATCCAAAACTTGCTTTGTTTACAATCTAAACTGTTTTGATTGTAGCTGTAGCTGTGATCGGGGAATGGAAACAATCGCTGACACTTGGGACATGAAACTCCAAAGGCCCCCAACTGGGAGGTGCCAGGGCCCAAAGAAAAAAGGCCTAGGGCCTAAAGGTTTAAGCATTTAAGACTATCCCGTCCATAGGTGGAGATCCCAGGGGGGATGGGGGGGACGCGTCCCCCCCTCACACAAAGTTGTCCCCCCCACAAAAGTTATTGTAAATGTATTAATGCTATCAGTAAACCTGTGTTTTCTTCTAAAACCACAATGTAAAAGTTAGTCTGCAAATACAAAACAATGTGTTTTTAATTGCTGAGAAATTATAGTCTCCCCCCCCCCCCCCCAATTCCTCAAGTTGGTACGGTCGGTCCACACGCGCTGTTTCCAACGGGCGGGGCTGCCGGTGTTGTGCCCAAAAATGATCGTCTGCCAGAAACTGATTGCCGTCCCTGAGAACTGCTGAATAACGTGTACAGGAACAATAATATCGATAATATGCCATTTTCAAGCTGCCAAAAAGTGATTGCTGCCTATATCTTGTCACAGAAAAAATATTCCTGCTTCAAACTTACTAAAATGGCATATTATGGGTATTAATGATCCTTTCAAAGTTATTCAGCTGTCATTAGAGACTGATTGGGATATAATGTGTCACATATGATCCTTCTGAATGATATCAAATAAGTCTGAAGCAGGAATATTTTTTCAGTGACACGTTATACCAGTTGCACAGAAGTAGTGGCAATGCAAGTAATCCAGGCGCTGCAGCTTTAAGCAGCTGCCCGCGCTCCTGCAGACGGCAATCAGTTTCTGGCAGACGATCACTTTTGGGCACAACACCAGCTTTGCCCTGCTCATATCTTCACAGCAGCCCGCAGGCTCACAGGAAGCGGGAATCAAAAAGTCAGCGGTTTCCAACGGTAAGTCAATTATCACACGCTTGTTCTACAAACTTAAATATGTATGTCAAATGTGGTCATAAATGTCAAACAGACACCGATTATCTTTAGATTTTGATCACCGGTCGGAGATCTCTTTATGACAGACCACCACCACCACAGTAAAAAAAAAAGTTGTCCCTTCATGTTCTCGGGTCATTCCAGGATTATTCCGCTATTATTATTCCATTCACTAAGGTGATCAAAAGTTCCTTTATCCGGACACGTACGCTTTCACGGTCTGCCCCTGGAAACTGCAGAGCATTTATAGATCGATGAAAATGTCCGTGTTTCATCCTATTTAGCAGATGAATGTGGTAGAATCAAAACTAACTGGTCTGATGTATGGAAAACCACAGCGTTTAACCGCTCTTATCACGTCTTCCCCAGGCTCTGCAGCTGTTTACAATATGTCAAAGTGCAGGTGCACCGTGCAGCTTAGGGATGAACTGGTAGCAGCAAATGTGTGATGGAGGCACGTTGCTCAAAGCTCTCAGTGTAAAACATAGAGCCAAAGATCCCGTTGGCCACAGACCCAAAAACACTATGAAAACTGAGAAAAGTGAGAGATTGATTAAACTGAAAGATAAACTATAGAGTATGTATATGTTTAGTGTATTTGTAAAGTAAAAGTTTTAATTTTTATTATTAAAATGAAACAAATATTTCAAGAATATATTTTTAGATTTTGTCTATTTTTTCGTTCAGTAGGACTTAGATAAAGTTATTAAATATTACAGTTATTCTCTAATAGCCTACAAACATTTCTATGATTTATTAGAGATTTCAGTCATTTTGATACTTGACTTGTGAAAGCTGATTTGAAGTTTGTTATTTTTTCTAGACATATTTAGAAGGAAAAATTCAAATATATTAAAATCAATATGGAACTATTTGGATTTTAGTAGCTTCCATGTTATGTGATTTAATAAAATTTTAATTAGACATTTTATGTTCTCTCTTTGTTGTGAAAAAGTTAGATATGTTTTAGTACTTGCGATTAATGCTTTGCATCCGTCCACACGTGTAGCTGTTGGTCAGCTAATAGCCGTGTCATTTCAGGACATGTTGCTTCAACTATTAACGATCTACTTTTAAATCTTTATTCTGAATTGCTTATTCCGTTTTAGGCCACAGCCTTTTATTGAAATGAAAACAAAAAGAATGGATGCTTATGGAGACGTACAAAATTGGCAAGATATTATTGTTGATTAATATCCTCCAGCTCCGTTCTAATGACAACATCCCATCTGTGTGTGTGTTGCTGTCCAACTGTCAGCAGACCAGGTCAGTTGAAATGGCAGAGAAACAAAAAACAGCAGACATCAGGTCGTTTTTTAATGCTCCAGAACGTCAAGTAAGTAGAAACTTGCATTTTGATAAAGACATCTAAATGAAATTGTTTCTAAATGGTTTCATTAGGCAAAGTCCAGTCACTTGAGCACAGGCAGCCAGAGCCTGTCAGACACAGGCACAGAGTCTCAGGTCAGTCTCTTATAAGGACATACAGCGTTGTATGTAGAGAGCATTTTTTTCATGCCCCCCCCCCCCCCCCCCCCCAAAATTACTCTCTGAAGTTTTACTGTTTATTGTCCCCCCCACCCCCACCACCACCAAATTGAAATGGGATTTCCGCCCTTGATCCCATCTGAAGCTGAACTTGTTTTATCACTTTAGTCTGTTTGTGTTTATCACAGAAGTTTGTCTCTAAGTCATACAGAGAGGAACTCAGATCTGACAGCAAATAGAAGGAATGTCTCCCACCTGCCAAACTGGATGGACAGCTTTGTGGGGCAGAAGATATTTATGCATCTGACTCTGAAGCAGAAGCTGAGAAGCGGTATTGTCGTGCATTTTTAGTGTTCCGCCTCCTCCTTCTATGCTTTGATCACCTCTCCTGAATATTTATTGCTGTGTTGTTGACTCCTATTTTACTCCGACAGAACAATGCCTTCCTCAGTCACCAACTAACTTCATGCGTATGTTATGAAATGATTCATTTTTTGAATAAGTGGGGATTTTAGTCGTGGAGATGTGGACGTCTTTTCTTCATGCAGGTTTTTGACAACTGAAATCATTTAGCTTGCAATACTTTTTGATGCTGATTTTGACTTGAAGTGCGTCACATCCTGCTGCTCTGCTTTGTTTTGTTTTTGTTGTTTTTTTAGAGGAGTTTGGCACTAACTGTATGTTTTCTAAAATTATCTTAACTTAATTTAGTTCATTCAATTTATTTCTCGTGTGTGTGTGCACGCACAATTTTGTGTGTGTGTGTGTTGCTCCTTTTGTCACCCCCTTTCTTACATCTTGTATTGAAATTTTTTTTATATATATTATCAATCAATTATCATTATGTGGGTTATTAAAATAATTACCAGTTATTGTATAAAAAATCATAAACATCAATTAACATGATGAACACTTCCCCCAGACATTTAATGACACATAGGATGTACTCTAATTACATTATTACTCTAATTAGATGCATAAATGCACATTTACACAAGACAAGGATTTGTCCTCATGAAAACAGAAAATAAGTTACAAAATGGGAAACAAATCCTATAATAATCGAGATCATTGGATAAAAGGCTAAACTGGATTACGTCACAGTACTACGACTTGATATTATAGAAATCTTATTGCCCCAAACTAATTTCAAAAAGAGCAAAAAATAATAATAATCTTGTTACTGTTGTCGCACCCTGTCTCGTCTCCCCGTTCTGTTCTGTCATGTGTCTCTGTTCATTGCTCCCACCTGCCTCTCGTTTTCCAATCCCCCAAGCTCCCAGCCCTCATGTGTTTAAACCCCTTCAGCTCTGTGTCTCTTGTTGGTTCATTGTTTCATTGTCCTGCGTGTGTTCTACATTAAAGACTTTAACTCGTTCTGGTTTGTCTGCCTGCCTGCCTGCCTTCCTCACCCGCATATGGATCCTCGCCTCCGCTTCACTCGCCGCCATGTTCTGACAACTGTCAGGATCTGCTCCATCTGCTTGGACAGTTTAAGAATGCTGTGGAAAAGTTTTCATGATAAAACGCAAAGTAAAAAAAAAAATAACATG